CACTGTTGAGCGCCCCCCCCCCCCCCGGGGGGTGATTTCTCACTTTCTGTCTCTCTCTCTCTTTCTGGCGAGCACATGTACCCTATAGCAAAAACCTCTCCCAAAAAAAAAAAAGAAATATTACTTAGTGAGTACAAATTATCTCTGAGAGAACAAGTTAGTAGTTAAGTAAGAAAGTGAATCCATGAGCAAAGATAAATGGGGGAAGAATGAATGAAAAGTAAGTGATGAGAGATAGATAAATAAATGAAGGTGTGAGTGGTAGAATGACAGTCAGTTGTTCCCAGGCATCTACTCTCCTCTGCAAACAGAACCCTGGTTTTTACTTGGACACATTGCCATTCAACAAAAAGAATACATTTCCCATTTCCAACTGCATAGCTATGTATGCATAGCTAAGTTCTGTGACTAACTTAAATGTAAGAAGCAGTGTCATGATACTTCACAGAACTGTTAAAAGAGGAATGTGTGCCCTTTTGGCTCTTCCCATTTTCACGTTTTTATGGCCTGGATGGTATGTGATGGTTGGAGCTTAGCAGCCACATTACACAATGAGGTGACTTTAAGGAAAAAAGCCACTCTAGGGGAGTAGAGCAAAAAAATAGAAGTCTAGTTCTCTGTTGATCATGGAGTCACTATAATATCCTATACTGCCTTACTCTGGATTATTTTATATAAACTAGAGAAGTACATTTTCAATTCTTTTGCTGCTGTTTTGTGGTTTGTTCTTTTTATCATGTGTGGTGGACCATACTGACCAACTTTCCCAGAATCACAGGTTGGTGCCAGAGTCAGTCCTAGAATCCAGGCCTCCTTTCTCCCAGGCTTGAGTTCCCTCTGAACTCAGGCTCAAGTCACAACCTAATGACCTGCAACTCCACACTCACCCAGATCTTGCAGGTACCCTCCAAATGCTTCCTCAAACCTAACACAGAATCGGAGAAGCTGATCTTTTTTAAAAGACAATTGATGGCCCCTGATCAGTGTCAAAACCGACTAGACTAGAGAAGCGCATAGACTCAACCTCATGTTGAACACAAATCCCAACAGCCCCAGGAAATGCCAACAGAGAATCCCGTCTGAGACTGTAGCACCTGGTGCACTCGTACTTTCGGTGGCTTCTCCATTTCAACAGAAAAGCATTTACTCTTCTGCAGAGCAGAACATGCATGGGTAGGGCCTTACCTCCATCAGGGAATGCCAGTGTGCAATGGGCTTCCGAGGATATGACAGCATTTCACTCCAGTGGTCTCTGCCCAGCCTCTCAGCCTCGTTGCCTACTTGACACACGCCGATGATCTCGTTGTGACCTACACTGTGAAAATGGCCCACAATAGTTTTTTCTTAAAATTTTGGTACATAAGAGCAACAGCTACTCAATTAAACTGATGGAGGAATTGGGGAAGCAGTAGTTTTTGTTCATTCCTTCATTCAAAACTATAGGCCAAACTTAATAGTCAATAGGCATGGGATCCAATAATGTACCCTGGTTTTCCTAAAACTGACCTGGGCAAACTTGTTTCCTATGTTCAATAAACTCCCAATGCATGCTAAGGATGCCAGCTCTGGTTCTGGAAGTAGCTGGCCTTCAAGTCCATGTAATAAAAGAGAATCGCCTGAAAAGAATTTCTGGCAAACACAGCTGCCTGGATTTCCACAAGAGGCAACCAAGGATGGTAAAGGGGTAGCACTAAGTCTGAGCTCTATGTCTCTTGGTTTGGGTTTTGAGGCCCAAACCAAGCAGAGAGGAGGAGGCTCCTGAGTCTCCTTGAACTCTAACTCTACAGAGAACATTGCTGTAGTCTGTGCTCTTCTTTCCTTCCAAGCCCAGCTTTGCTTCTTTAACCCAACTTCCTTTCCCAACTTTAGAAAGACACTTAGCTCCTTTAACCAGAGGGCTAACACCTTTGAAACTTTCCCTAGAGAGGCCCCTGCCTTGCTCATCCCCACTTTTTTTTCTTAGCAGTTTTTGTTAAGTCTTTTGCATAACTAGAAGGATATAGCCCATTCTTTAACTCTTTGAGATCTAAATTCATTTGCTTTTTTTAATTTCTGGGAAAGTGAGTGATCTTTCTCCTTGTCCTGTGTGGGGAAAACAAGAGGTGATAGAGGTGGGAAGGAGGTGGAAAGGATATTTGAATCTATGCTCATTAAAATCGGATGCATGCAGAAGCCCCATAAATCCTGCTATGGATTTTTCCAAGCCAGATTCATGAGTTCACTGAGAATTAAATTGAGGCAAAGCTCACATAATCAGATTTACCATTGTAGGAAACTTGGCAAGAGCTTGAAAAAATGCTGGCCTAGCCTTCCACAGTTGTTGGGAATGCCCCCTCCCGGGGCCTGACACGACCAGTGTTATGTGTTGCCCCGAGGAGATGGACAAGGTCTCCTGCCCAGCATGGGCTGTGACACCCATGGGCAGCTGAGCCAACCCACATGTTCCTTGGATTGGAAGATGGTCATGCTTCATGCTGGCCTCTGCTGGAAGGAGTGTTCAGGCCATTAAAGCTGCTTTGCTGACACTTCCGCAATATGTGGGAAAAATTTTAGCTACAAAAATATTTGTAAGATTATATTAGAAGTCAGAATAAATTTTTTTTTTTTATATAATTGTGCTGAGACCACGTGGGAGGTTTCTAATTAAAAAGAGACTTTGCATTTCAGTCTAATGACTGGTTTAACATGTATAATTCCCTGTTGGGACTTCCTTTGCATATTAAAATGACTGTTTTTCAAATCTGTCCTTTAAATACACAATTGGCTACAATGCAGGCTATAAATATCTCTTCTGTGCTGTATTAATTAAAAAGTCGAGCATCTTATACATTTTAATGTACCCCGTCATCCGTACGGAGTCTAGCATTTTCAAGAGAACATTTCTGTTTGCTTTCAGGCTTAAGTGGATGGAAATGATCTTTATTAAACACATTGCAAGGAGGGAAAAGATTGAAGCTCTGTATTTAGAAATGTTGATGGTCTAGCAAAAGCAATCATTCTGCTGTTCTGAGTGGAATGTTTCCTGTGAAGGGCAGCTGGGATTGCTCGACAGACTATAAGGCCTGGGGGGGGCCACCATTCTCTATGCCGAGACTCCAGGAGGTATGCAGAGTTGAAAAGGGGAAGAGATGGGGCGGAATGAAGAAGGAGGAGAAGGAATGAATGAGAAAAGGGAAGAAAATGTAAGAGTCGAGGGGAACTTTGATAACCTGACTCTACAGTACGGTTTGGAAAATGGTGACTCTTTATCAATCCCCTTTCACATGCTGCTCATTCCGTTCATCCTTGTGACCTGGGACACAGCTAAGGATCCACGGTCATTTCTTCCCTCTGTTCTCCCTGCCCTGAGCATAGGGACTTGCACCGAGACAGCTCCCGGTTCTCACCGGTCGTAGTCCATGACTGCTATGGACAAGTGGATTTGGTCAATGTTCTCGGGAGGGACGTCAAAGACTATGGCTTCGTTGTAAACAGGATTCAGCGTGTTCCTTTTGGTGGAGGTTTTCCTCTTCTTCAGTCGCCGGCCATCACACATCAGTGAGACTTTCACATAGGGATCTGTATGGGCCATGAGAAACAGGAGCAGACTCAGACCTGTGATTATGTCACTCTGGGCTTTCACGGATTCCTGTAGGTATAACTTTTTTACCTGTCTGTAGACTGGAGTTTGAGGACTTTAATTAACATGCTGTATGCACAGTGACTACAGTGAGGATAATTAAGTCCTTCATTCAAGAAAAAGCATAGGATACTGTCTCCTCAAAATGTGTGAAATTTAAAAATAGTGTGGAAACATCTGTTACTGAATTAGAAAACATTCCAGACCTGCCTGGCTCTGACAGAAACAGAAATGCACAGGCATTTCCAAGATGCGGGAAACAGGCCCATAGCCCCCCAATTCTGAGCCGCTCAGGGAATCTTTTCCTAATCAGGTTTTTCAGAAAGGAAATCCTAGATCGCCTAGAATTTCTGAATTTCTGGCAGACAAGGAGGATGTCTGGTGGTAGAGTTCCCTAAAAACAGGGGTCCTGAGCCCCCGGGACTGCCTGCAGTTGGGCTCCAAGAGGAGAAGCAGTTCAGCCCGTCAGGGAGGGAAAAGATGCAGGGCTGCTTGTGGTGCGACACTGGTGAATGACAGGTGACTAAGGCTGGTCTCTGCTCCAGATGAGGCACTTTCATTCTACCAGCCCCCTCACCATCTTCCAGCTCAGTGGAGTGTCTCTTCACCTCAACAAGCATGCTCTGTGCCAGCTGCCATCCTCCGTCCAGCAGGGACTGAGAGGGCCAGAGAGTTGCATCTTTTACTTTGCTTAGAAACCACTTTGGGGACCAACAGTTGGTGTAATTGCTTTGTTGTTGGACTCCCATGTAGTCGACTGTGGTTTGAGTCGTGGACCCGTTGGCTTAAACTCACTCTGGGCACATGTGCATGGTACCCAAGATCCTGAGAGGAATGGAGAAGAAGGGATTGCAGCATGGCCATCCCCCCCTCGGGGTGATTTCTCACTTTCTGTCTCTGTCTTTCTGGTGAGTGCATGTGCCCTATGGCAAAAACCTCTGGGGGGGGGGAGAAAGAAAAAGAAAAAGAAAACACTTTGGTGTTTGGGCATGGAGTGTATTGCATTTGCTGTTCTTTGTGTTCAGTGACTAAGAGTCAGTGTGTACTGAGTGTTTTGTGAACATATTCGGATTTTGAATTTGCATAGTTGAACAATTCTTTCTTTTCTTTTCTGTTTTTAGAGGTTTTTGCTATAGGGCATGTGTGCTCGCCAGACAGAGAGAGACAGAGAGATAGAAAGCGAGAAATCACCCCTCAGGGGGGATGGTCACGCTGCAATATCTTCTCCTCCATTCTCCTCTCGGGATTTTGGGCACGCGCACACACATGCCCGGCGTTGAGTTTAAGCCACCGGGTCCGGGACACAAACCGCGGTTGACTATGTGGGAGTCCAGCGACATAGCCATTATGCTAACTGCTGGTCCCTCGTTGAGCCATTCTTTCTTACGGTTTAGAATTTAAGTATACATGTTTGATTCACTGGGAAACTACCACTACATGGTTTAATAAAGAAACAGGATTATCTTCAATATTCAATAAGCCTGGGATGGCAACACCTGAAGAAAGGCCCAACTACATAAGCTGTTATCAGCAAGTGCAAACTGGGTCCAGTTGGCGATTACGGTGAGGGAGAAGATCCGAAGGGAGATACTTTTTGTAGCATCTAGTATACACCAGGCAGTGTTCTTACAACTTTACATGTATTAACTCACTTAATCTTACACCAACCCAATGAGACAGATACTTTTGTTATCCTCATTTTGCAGAGGGGAATTTGAAGCCCAGAGTTTACGTAGCTCACCCAAGGTCACAGAGCTATTATGCGGTAGGACTGGGGTTAAACCTAGGCAGTTTGGTTCCAGAGTCAATGTGCTTTACCACACCGAGGTACAACATTAGCGCTTTAGGAGGAAGTCTGAATTTGAGAATGTCTCACCTGATGCTCCTGTGATGTCCATTGCCTTCAAATTCCTCGCTTTGATAATGGTAATGGTCAGCCTGCCAGCCGTTGGAAGATAGCAGAGGGAAAACATCAGCTCTCCAAGATCCACGTTGTCCTGTGGGAAAGCACAAACTGAAGCGTTAGGAAGTGTTTTCTGCTGGGCATGTGCAAGACTCAGCTGTGGGTCGGCACCAGAAGGGCCCATGGTGCTCCGTCTGCTTAGCTTAAATCCTGGTGTCCCTTGCCTTCGTGCCAGTCACATGGGCAAGAACAGCCCCCTGCACTTCAGGAGTTCTTCCCCCTCAGAAAGCACTTCCATCATTAGATGGCAAAGCCACAGAGACAATCCAGGGCCTCTGCCATGTGGATAGGCCACATGCAGCCCTACATAGCCTCCTGTGGGTCCAGTGGCCCAGCACACGGTGGCCAGTGCACAAGCCCCACAGACCTAACATCCTCCATGGAGTCCCCTTGCCCCATGGCTCCATTCATATCTCTACCACAGTCCTCATAGAGCCCCAGGACAAAGCTACACAAAGGAGTACCTATGCTGTAGCGTGCACAGATCCACCATGGCCCGGTACACCCTGTGCATAGCCCCACATGCCATTGCGCAGTCTCCACACAGATCCCCACACTGCTCTGCACACGCTCGTCTGTGCAGGCCCCTCGTTTGCCACAGCAGCACCCATACACCTGCATATCCACTCCCCCATAATTCTTGAGCCGCAGAGCACGGCACACAACCTGCTCACATGCAACCAGTGTAGACCTGTCTTCACTGGACCCTGGGAACTTCTAGCCCCTCACAGAGCTCTGGGTGATGACATTGCACAGGCCTGAGAGTGACACCCATGGCCCCATACATCCACAACCCTGGACACACCCGGACACAACTCAGTCACACAACCTCAATGCAGAGAGAGAAGGGCAGAGGCCCTAAGGCCCTGAGACCCAGTCGCCCCGCTGCCTGCCTCTCTGGGTCCACTTTGCCTCAGCTCTCTCTGCCTTCCTTTCATGTGTCTCTAAGGAGCCCCCTGTCCTCTGCTAGGGAAGACATCTCCTCAGGCAATCTATAGCCACTCAAGTAGGTCAGAAGACATGCTTCTCTCTCCTTTTTAGCCCAGGGAGAATGTAACCAGAAAGGAGGAAAAGAGCCAGTTCATTTCATTTAAATTTCCGAGAGATACCTGAGGTTATTGAGCTGGGTGTCTGTGTCTAATTAATACAGTTTCTTACTGACAATGCTCTGGGGAGTCAGGGTTTTGCCCTCAACATTCACAGCCTTACCTCTCCTCAATTCTCCAAGGATGCTTCTATTTTTAGAAGCACAGATTCAGCTCTGGAAGGTCACCTCGCACAACCTCCCAGCCCTGACTGCTTCCACAGGAGGATGCAGGAAGGCATCTATTTGGTGGCTAAGGCAGATGGATGGCCCCGAATCTATGCATCAACTGCCTCCTGGAAGTAAATGGCCTCACTTTGCAAGCCAGCCTTTCGTGGTCCCTGGAGCCCTGACTTCGAGAGGCCTACGTGGCTGGTGCTTTCCATTTGGGGAGAAGTCAGGGCCGTGGAGGAGTGGGGAGACCAGGGTTTTGCAGGACTGGGGGTTCACACCCTGTGGGCTCTGGGTTGCTGTGCAGTGCTAGGCTCAAGAAGCAGTACCTGCCCTCTCTGAGGAGGGGTAGTCTGAGCCAACGTCCTGCTGGAGGCAGAGGGGAAAGAGAAGCAACAGATTCCCATACCATCCTTTTGCTTCCTTACCCCTGGCTCATTCTTTTGCTCTTTTTTTTTTTTCCCTAGAATGATTTATTTACTTTTATTCATTCATTCATTTTATTTTAATTTGACCAGAGATACACACACACACACACACACACAGAGAGAGAGAGAGAGAGAGAGAAAGTGAGAGAGCAAGCCACCAGGTCCAGGACTTGAACCGCGGTCAGCCATGTGGGAGTGTCCAGCGCCTTAACCACCACACCACCTGCTGGTCCTATTCCTTTGCTCTTTGACCTCTGAGCAAAACCCTCCTCAGTGGGTTTTCACTGCACTCTGTTCTCCTCTTCTCCCCTCATCCTTCCAGAAAAATCTTCATAGTCAATTCTTTCAATGTGCATTTCCTGAGGGCCGACACTGTGCAAATGCTCTAGAAGATCTGGGATGTGAAAAATGCATAACAGCCCAGTCCCTACCCTCAAGGTGGATGCACATGCAAGTTACATGTGATATGTTAGATTATGGCTGTGCTGAGTATGGGGCTGTATTATATCTTTCCAACATAAACTGTATTCACAAATATCTATGTTATATGGTTATCTGCTCACAAGATAAAAGAAAAAAGCTAACCTGGGACCAGCAGTTGGCATAATGGCTATGTCACTGGACTCTCATGTAGTAAGCCACGGTTCAAGTCCTGGACCTGGTGGCTTAAACTCATGCCGGGTGCGTGCATGCCCAAGATCCTGAGTGGAGAATGAAGGAAAAGGATTGTGGTGTGGCCATCTCGCCTGGGGGATGATTTCTCTCTTTCTATCTCTCTGTCTCTCTCTGTCTTTCTGGCAAGCGCATGTGCCTTATAGAAAAAACTTCTAAAAAAAAAAGTTAACCCTAGTTCACAAATTCAGAATGTGAACTAGAGTTAAAAATCCATATTTGTATTTATATGCACACACACAATAGCAAGCTAAAGAAATAGTTATCAAAGAAAACAAAATGCCTGGTAAGATTTAAAAAAAATTTTTATAAAATTCTAAAATTTTATAAAATCCTAAAAAAAAAATTTATAAAATTCTAAATATCTGTATGAAAATACAGACATTTTCAAGTAAAACAGCCCCCTTTCTCATATCCATACCCACCTACTTCACTCCTTTCACCAGAGTAACAGTGAATAATCATCTGGATTTTTTTTCTTTTCATTCATTCAGTTGTCCATTTAACTATTCACTCCATCACTCACTCATTCATTCATTCATTCCTTTATTTTCTTTCTTTCACTATTTTCCCACAAAATAATTTTTGTTTTGTAATTGCGTAGGGCCCATGTGCTCACTAGAGACAGAGCAAGGGCCGGGAAGAAAGCACCCTCTAAGTAGGTGTGTGGTCATACCAGAATTGCAACCCCTTCTCCTCTATTTCTCCATCCTGTTGGGATTTGGGGCATGCGTATACCTGTGTTAAAGCCACTGGGGTCATGATTCAAACCATGTTTTGCTATGTGGGATCTGGCTCTCTCAACCACCAGGCCATCAGGTCAGCCTCATTTACTTACTCTTCTATGTTGTGGTGATTGTGGTTGTTGAGCATTACCGTTTCATAAGCTGGGAGCTGTCCCTACAGCAGCGAACAGCACACACTGTGCCCCGAGGAACGATGGACTTGTGATATGGAACAGGGGTTATCTGGCACCCAGCACCAGAGCCAACTGTGCTGTTTCCCCAACAGCTGAGCTGCAGGCTCAAAAACCTGCAGGTGTTGATGTTTGTAAACATTTCTTTAAACCAGTGGTTCTCGAACAGGAGCAATTTTGCTCCTTCAGGAGGATTTTTTTTTATTTTTTTGGAAGAGGGTTTTTGTTTTTGTTTTTGTTTTTTTTTGCTATAGGGCGCGTGCACTCTCCAGAAAGACAGAGAGAGACAGAAAGTGAGAAATCACCCCCGCCCCCCAGGGGAGATGGCCATGCCACAATCCCTTCTTCTCCATTCTCCTTTTGGGATCTTGGGCACTCACGTACATGTGCCTGGCATGAGTTTAAGCCACTGGGTCCAGGAATCAAACCATGGTTGACTACATGGGAGTCCAGCGACATAGCCATTATGCCAACTGCTGGTCCTGAGAATTTTTTTAAATTACCAGAGGGTGTCTGCTCTCTCCCAGAGAGAGAGACAGAGTGAGAAGAGGGTGAGGGAGAGGGAAGGGGAGAAAGCACTCCTAAGGGGATGTGGTCATATCACAACCTGTCAGGGTTTGGGGCATGAACACACGTGTACGCAGCTTGTTTTCAAGCTTCTAGGGTCAAGACTTGAACTACAGTTATCAAAGCTATTCCTTAACCACAGTTAAGGGATCTGCCTCCCTTAACTAGGTCAGAGAGATTGCCCTCTGGAGAAATTTTCAATTGTCACAACTAGGGGGGAGGGTGTGTTGCTGACATCTAGGAGTTAGAGCCCAGAGATGCTGCAAGTCATCCCACAATACTCAGGGAAGTCCCCCACTATGAAGAATTTCCTGTCCACAATGTCAATAGTGTCGAAGTTGAGAAACTCTGCCTTACACAGCAGTGCTTAGATTGCTAGTAAAAGTTTTTCTGGACTGATGACAAAAGTCAAATATCAAGGGATGGTGGAGTATTTGGCTTCTTTTTCAACTTGACAGGAATCAGATATGCATAAGTGTCACTGGTGGTAGAGTGCCCTGGAGGGTATAAGGGGAAGGGAAATGCCATACAAAGAAATGCTTTGTTTGCTCCTGCTTTGAGCAGTGAAATTCAGTATTGTTGACAAGATATATTGGGAATTCACAGCAATTCCCAATATATGCATTCTCTACCTGCCTAATCTGTAGACTTTCTGGGGTCTGTTCATTTGCAGTGGCCTATGATAGCTGTAGATTTTGTCTAACTAGTGTTAGAACCTCTGTATTCCTCTTTTGGGGCTCTTCTAGTTAGCTTCTTCCTAAATCCAGGGAATTCTGAAAGAACTGCAGTAGGAATTCAGGTCAACCAAACTCTTCATGCCCCATCCACACTGCTGTTTGTTCAGGATTGAATATATAACAGAGGGAGAAAGGCTTAGAGACTTCCTTGGGATTGAAATGATATTGAAAAAGAGAAATCCTCGTTTTATTGAAGTTATTAGGCAGATACAAAATTATAATTGCTGTGAGATTCTTATACAGTGTACAATGTAGTTACGCTGTGGAAATGAAAGATTATGCTAAAGTAATGACTAAAATAATACAATAAAGAGTTATAGCTAATAGATCAACAAAGGAAATAAAATTGTTGCTTAAAATATTCAATTAATCGGGCCAGCAGGTGGTGTGGAGGTTAAAGTGGCTGGATCCCACAGGGCTAACTGTGTGGTTTGGGTCCTGGACCTGAAAATCACACTG